AATATATATATACTATATTATTGTATATATTCTACTATGTACTATACTATGTATTAAGTATGCAATATATAAGCTACATAATATTGGTAATATTAAGTGTGGATTATTCTTAGTTACAATTTGGTATAAGCTCTGGAAACTTTTGCCAGAAAACATTTATCTAGCAATTTTTTTATTAGTATAACTGAGAGAGTGTTTGATTGGAGTTTCTTGTTTTTATTGACTTAGAGCTTTCTATGATAATGACTCTGACCTTTCAGGTTTCTTTGCATACTGTTACAAGGACTGAAAAATGAATGACTGAACCAAAGATTTTGGTTCTGCCCCAGTTTTTGAATGTATAGGGTGTAATAAATATAGGCCCAATAAATATAGGCCCAGTCCGGACCTTGGAAGTCTCTCAGAGTGCTTTGTTGGGACAACTGATGCAGAAATCAGATCCACCGACCCTTTTTTCTTGACTGATGTTTCAAGCTTGGAACTTGCTATGCTTTCCAGAAGACTGCCTTAAGCTGACTTGCAGAAAAACATGAAATAGTTGCACAGTTRCTATAATAAAGGATGTTTCTATCTTAATCATATTTGATTAAGAGGAATCTGAACAAAATTAAAAGCAAAGATTTAATACATTTTTAATTAGAAACATAACACTTATTTTTTCGATTTTAATTGCATTTGCCCGGTCACAATACTCAATTAGAGATGAATAGAATCTATCTGGGAAAATATGAAAAAAATGTGGTCATTCCTTGGAGAAAAACCTCAGCTCACTCTTGTAAATCTCTAGCAAGTGGGCCTTTTTTCTTTTTTAATTGAAGAATATTTTCTTTGTATAACAGAATGTGTGTGGGGAGATTTCTCTTGCTATTTCATGTAATGTTTGACTTCCCCTTTTTTTCCAGAAAATCAGAAAAAAAATCTTTTTTTTTTTTTTTTAGGGTTAATTTCAGACCCCACTTTCATGAAGTTGTTCAGTTTGGTTTGCCTTTCTCCTGAGTATTGGTTTAATTACTGTAAGATGCAGTGTTTTGTGTGTTCGTATGACTACTGAAAAGCATTTTAAAATATTTTTCCAAGCCTAAGACAAATAGAAATTGCTGTCAGTTTGTCAGTTATCAATCTCTCTGCTTATCCTAATCAAAAAAAAAAGGGGTCTATTTCTAATTACAGTTCTTACAGAACATTTTTTTTCTTAATGTGTGTGTTTTGTTTTTTTTTTTACTCTATTTCTTTCATTGCAGCTTTTGGTTCTTTATTCATTTGGGCAACAAAGTTGAAATTGTTTGATATATTTAGGATCACACAGCTGTGAAATTATAGATGGCTGTTTATCAAATAAGTGTTTACTGTGACTGCCCATGAGTCAAGCAAAATTTAATTAATTCCAACTGGACAGGTGAAGTCAAAATATATCTGATTAAACAAATAAACTCTTGTATTGTGACCACACAGAAAGTATCAAGTGTTTTCACTTAAGAAAGGATTAGAAAATGACTGACATTGGAGAAGCCATTCTTTTTACAACCAAAACTCTGATACCCCCTCTTCTTAAAATGCTGTCCTCTATCATCTCTTGAAATTGAACTTTAGCATTGTGAAATTCCTGCTGTTTAAAGCTATTGCAAACTCCTTTTTTTTTTTGTTTTTTTTTTTAATTCTTTGCTGTCATATTTTCTCCTTCACATAGTCACATATTTTTCACCTAGTTTATTTAATAAAGCTATTGGAGWCAATTTTTAGTTGAGGAATGTCATTATCTCTTAAGAACGATTACCATTCTCTATTTTGTCGATATAATTAAAAACTCAGTAAGACTGGGTTTTAATATTTATAATTCTAAGTTTTTAATGAGTTGCTGATGTCCAACAGAATGCTGATAGACCTGTTTTTWTTCCTTTCTTTTTGTTTGCCTTCTTTCCCTCCAGGTTTTGTCCTAGAAATAAATATGCAGCCATTAAGGATACCTGTTCTGTAATGAATCTGCCGCTCGTTAGGGTCCGTGGTTTACTGCAAGACTGTGGCTATAATGCACATTCAGTCACTGTGTACTTCACTGTTGTATTTAAAGAAAAAAATGAGTAATGTTTCTCTTTGTTGAAAGTGGAGAGGTTGATTGAATGCATGAGATATTCTAAATTAATCTGAGTTTAAGGCTTTTATGCAGTGGCTACTTAGTGAATTGACTCTTGTTTTGCATGTAGACATTTATAACTTGGAATAACAAAATGGATGAGTTAAAAGAAAAATGTGTTGTTGAACAGGAGCAGTTTTGCACAATTCTGTTAGACAAAAATTTCCGTGAAGCTATTAYAGCTGACAGCAGTTAGAATATTTTAGAGGTTTGCAAAAAATGGGGTTTCAATATCAATGTTTTTCCTGTGACATGATTTCAGAAAAAATTCCATGACCTTTCCCTTTAACTTGATATTGTCTCACTGCTCTGACAGCTCCTTTACTCATTGGCAACTATGCCAGAGGAGATTTAGTAATGTTGTTGGGAATGAGCAAGTTCCACAGTTAACTCATGTTTCAAGGACAAAAAAAAAATAGTGACCTGAAATAGTCCTTGCAAAGCAATCCTTCAGAAATATACTACCTAACAACAGTCAAGATTTGGGTCAAAGAGTATATACTTCTGTGTTTTTTTGGGGGTGTGTGTTTATTTGCTGAGTTTTACAGTGTTTGGTGAGAGGGTACAATTTGTTCTCATTTTCTTCGTGCCAGGAGCTCTCTTACAATTAGAGGAAATTTTTAATGTGCATTCAGAAAAGCTATTAGCCATTTTGTTGTTGCCTTTTTAATTACATTTCATTTTATGTAAATCAGTTTTCTGTATTTTCATTTTCTCTCTACTCTTCGTCTAGATTCCACCAAGAAAATTAAGGATGTCTTAGAAGAGTTCCATGGCAGTGGAGTGCTAGCAAAATATAATCCTGAAGGGGTAATTTTTCTTCTTTCTTCGATGGTCTGAAATGGGGGGAATAATGTCAGCAAGTGTTATAGCAAATCTAAACATTTAGGATTAGAAGATTATTCATGAATGAGTTATTTGGGATGACTGATCTGTTTGAAAAAAAAAACCTGTATTTTAAAGAAAACAAAATTATAACATCATACTGTGAATAGTTTATAGTTTTTCCCAAACRTTTTCTTTTTTAAAAATTTAAAATAAAGATGTTACAGTAAATTTAATATATTTCCCTATTGTTTTGGATGTTGGAGATGTTAAGCATACTTTGAAAGATTAGAAAAGGACAATACTTCTCATATGTATAGGGGATATGTATATGTATGGGGTTATCCTTTAATACAAAACATATTCTTATGTTGTGAAGCAAAGAATTTAGCAGAAGAAACACCTTTATGTGTGTGCTGTGCCTACAGATTCACTCCTGAAGCAAATATTCTATTTTTGTCCAGTCAAAAAAGATGGATTTTTTTTTTTTTTGTATCCTTGATTGCATTTTTCATCTGGTTAGCACTTCCATCTAGTGCTATTCAAAATGTAGCTCAGTAAACATCTATTTCTGTAATCTTCCTTATTCTGCTTGTGTTGTGTGGAATGTTAAATAGAAGAATAAGCCGACCATTGTGAAAATGCTTTGATCTTCCCTTCAGATGTAAAAGTCAGGAATTGTTATCAAGTAAGCAAGTTGTAACCCAATGTAATATTGAAATGTTATTTGACACTTTGAACTTAATACAACAGAGTATGTGTTGTTTTACTCATTTTTTTTTTCCACTACTCTGAGGAGAGTATTGTGTACCTCATTGTAGTAGTATGTGTTAGATTGGAATGCTGGGGTCTTCTCATTTTTTTCCTCCAATATGGCAGGCTGTATGTTTTCCCTTTACTGATTCCTGTCGAAATGTATTTTTTTTTAGAAAAATATGAAATGTTATGAAATGTATTTTTTTAAATGTGAAATGTTAATTTACAATGTCAAATATTTTAAAATTGTCTTAAAATTTTCTTAATTCTCATTTTTCTCTTGTAGATAATACATATTACAGATTTTCAGTATGGGTGTGTAATAAAATCAGTATTTAAAGTTGTAAAATTAAGCCCTTTTAATAGAGCTTTAATTAATCCTCTAATTTTGGGGTATGTGGAGAATTTAGTCATGGTGAAAAGTGTGTAGTATGGGCACCTGGGACAGCTGCTTCCTCTGAAATAAAGTGGACCTGGCAAAATCTGCAGAAAACTGGAATTAGCAGACACAACTGTCCATGTGCAGTGTTTCTCATGGCTCTTAATTTCTAAAATCATTTGCACACAGCATCCTGCTACATGTGCTGGAACAGCACAGGGGCATGGGGAGCAGGGCAGCACCCAACCCAGTAAGCAAGATAGGAGACTGCAAAGGGAAAGGCAAAGCAAACCAAATTCCTCATAGTGTCTCCACTGTCTTCAGCAGGGACCAGTGTTATTTTCCACTGCTCCAGGTTGCCCAGGTTGGGTTCAGGATGTTGCCAGTAGCTCTTTCATCTGTTTGCTTAGCACTCAAAGTTCAGGGAGAGCAGCARAAGCAAAATACAGCTAGCAGCGAAACAAGTTTGGGGTCAATAGGATTTATTAGCTCAGGTTTCATGCCATAAGCTGCTGAGCTGGAAGCAGAGCAGGTGGAATTACATTCTTCTGCAGCTGAGGAAATAATCCCAGGCAGGCTCAAGTGCCTTTGCACAGAGCATAGGTGTGTGGGTGCATTTTTGGTATCCATTCAGCCTGCTACCTGGCTAAACTATTTACAAGATGGTTTCAGAGCTCGTTATATCTGATCAGATGATGTCATTCTGTGTTGGAAGTACTGTTTAACTAACATAATTATTACTTGAAAAATCAAAAAAAAAGTCTTAGAGTGTTTTAGCATGGACAGCAGGAGATGCSCAAGATACAAAGCTCTAACTAAAATCATTTATCATATAGCTTTCTCCTTCTGTGCTTTGGAAATAAAATTTTAAACTGTTAAGCATCCAGTACTTTGTTTTGTAGAAGAAACCGTCACATTTCTATTTTAGCTCTTTATTTCCTAGATCATTATCTGATAAGCACTGCAAGTATTTTTGCAGTGCTGTAAAAAATCTGCAAAAAGCTGTCAGTTTTTAGACTAATCAACGTGGGACACAGAACTATGCCAGGATATTTTGCAGTGTGATGTATTTATGTTCTTAAGAAAAAGGCTTAAGAATTTCTTGTTTCAGGCTTCTCTCTGCTTAAAGAGCTCAGGGATTTATACCTCTCTATT